GATATGTACCGGTACATATGTACCAGTAAATATGTACCAGTTCATACGCCTGCGTATCATTGTTTAAACATTGATATATATTTGACTTTAGGTCAAATTTTTCGTCTAGTCATTATTTTTTTAATCGATGTGCATATTCATAATTTTTATTGAATAAGATTTGATAGTTAAATGCAATAGCCAAAAGATCACACACCAAAATTTGACAGTATTAATTCCAAGTCTGACTCTTTAAATCTACAGTAGAGGCATGTCTGCTAGTCTTACCCGGCAGAACCGTGGACATAACAGGCCGCGTGCCATCACAATATAGTAATGATAATAAATGCGGTAGCACCTAATGTCAACTTCAACCCGAACATAAGAAAAACAAAATAATTTCCTAAAAAATTAATACCCTTGTTCTTCATATTCTATAAGGATATTGTTCTCCTGATTGGATTGGATTGGATTTATTCGGTGTATTTCCAGTGGGGTCTCTGGTGGTGATTGGGCAGTACACCAGGAGACAATCCCCTACTCTTTTCCGAAGATTGTACTGTGTTCTTTAACGTACATATTGGCCCTAATGCAAACAGGACCGACGGCTTAAACACCTCATGCGATAGATGGTGCGCTTTCGTAACTTGCGTTTCAGCCCTCTAGCTGAAATACAAGGAGAGCAGCGATGGGAACTGAACTGGGAACCAAGAGATCTCCACGGTTCAGCGCACACACACAGTGGCCACCACCAGTTTAGCCTACTGAGCTAAGCTGCTCTCATCTGATGATGATTGAAGTGACTCAATTGAAACGTCCAAACATTCACAACAAACACAACGTAACTGCTGTTATATTTTCATGCAGTCACATTGTTTTACCTTGGAATGGTCGCATATTGTGTACTGCAAGCATTTAATATATTATTACTTTGCCATACAAAAGCTTCAAACAATATTTAAGGATTTTTGTTGTAAATTGCCTGAAAATCAGCAGAAAAATTCTGATTTATTTTTTTCCTTTTCTTTTTATATCTGTGTCTCACTGCAAGTTGTGTGATGTGTACATATATGGGCATGATGATGTCGTAATACACCCAAATATGGGCATATCATATTTATTTATCACAGGAAATTTGATGTGTATACAACTTTATTCAATGCTTTAAATTGTTTTTTTTTTTGTGTTTTATACAGTTAAGTTTTACTTTGTACTGAGTAAAATAAAATCATGAATTTTAAATATTTACCCGGAGATACTTCAATTGTGCGAGGAAATCCATGATGTGTCCAAGGTCATTTCGAGCATCATCAGTAACTATTATTAGAAAACAGAAAAGGTAAAAGAAACTTACAAATGAAAAAAGTATAGGCAGCAACATAATCTTCTTTTTTTGGAGATTTTGGTTCAAATATAAAATGCATTAGTTCCTTGAATATAAACCCACCCTATACTTTTTGTCCACTTTTATGTAAAAGCATTTCCCTAGCAAAAGCCCAGGGTATAAATAGGTCAGCTGATTTTTACAAATACTTTCACATAAATATCAATGGTTGCTACTGACATAGGCATTGGCAGTTTAAAAAAATAGGCTCCCAACGGGAGCGTGTCTACTGCCTTATAATATGTTTACTAACGTATCCACATGAGGATTCAGTTATTGGGAAAATTGTGGTTATTACTAGGCTTAATACTGATAGCCGTATGCCTTGTTTCATTCTTTACATTGGCATTTTTATTGTTGTTTTCCATTTCCTTGCCAGCTCAATTGTATCTAGCCTAGCCTACCTGTACAGTAAAATTACTGTGGCTCTGTGTGTTGATTATCGGTGTGTTAGGCCACCTACGACGTAAAAAGTGAGAAACTAGGCCTAGCACTAGCATCAACTCTCACAGTTTTACTCTTTTAAATATACGTTTTCCTGGTGCAAAGTGTCCAAATTAGTACAATAGTAAAACAGGCCTTAGAAGGCCTAGGCTAGCTACAACAAAAACAAGCGAGGTGCATGGATGGGCAAACAAGGAGCAAGGTGTCGTGCATTGGAAGATTCTGTTCTCCCAAACAGGTCACCAATTACGTAATGGCTTTATGCTTCCAGACTTTACACTTCCGGATTTACAAACTGAGCTCAAAGTGTCTATTGAGGGCAGTAGACACAAAAACGAATGTATTTTTTTGTGTGAAATTCCCAGGTAAAAGTCTACCCCTCAAAATCGAATTTCATACTCAAGGGGGATGGGTTTATACCCGAGAATCTATAGTATAAAAATGTACATAATAATAATGTATAATTATACATACCACACGTAGGTAATGGCAACTTTAGCCTTTCTGTTATAGCAAACAGCTGCATTGGTGTCATCTCGCAGACTTCACCACTTGATAGAATAAGGTCACCCTTCTCAAAGAGTTCCTTTGCAAGCGCTTGAGAAACACCAGTCACATCCTTTAGAACAAAACCACAAAGAAAAGAATTTAACGCATTAGAGTAAAATTAATAATAAATAATATAAATAACTATTATTTCAATAACAATGTTTCCCTTTTTGTTTAATCCTACATACGATTATCTCAGGGGTCACAAGTTGGAAAAATCCACATACAGGGGATCTGTTTAAATGAACTTTCTTAACACAAACACGGAGATCTGCATGTTTGGTAATGCAACGCATGACCGCCAAACACGGAGATCTCTGTGTTTTGGGGATTTTTTACGGAATCCGATGGAAGGGGTAATTACCAACATGTACTAACAATTTCAACACTATATTCAGTCTTTCGCTATTTCAATGTGACCTATTCTCAGTCACCTCATATTGTATGGCGATACTGAAATGCAGTTATCTCAGCTTTATTGTGTGAATATGCGTAAAACGTGTGAGTCACTTTCATGTTACGGGTCACAGATTGTGATAAAGTGTTTGGTACTATTGTAAAGCTACGTTGTTTGTAGTTCTTGTAGTATTTATTACATGTCAATCTGTTCACATACACACTCTCACAAAGCTTTGGAAAAGTGTTATAATTCACTAAAAAGTCTGTCGGTGGCTGATAATGTTTCTTCAAAACCCTGGCGGTCAGTGTTAACACATCTAATTATATTTTGCTCTGCATGGTGATACCAATTGGCACCGACTTCTTGGAGACAATTGATAATAGAGTTACTAGTAAAAACATGTCATGCAAATACAGTATCGTTAATTTGTGGGATATTGTTTACTTTCTGGGAGATACTTACATGGTCGCGGGAGGTATTCCCAATTTTCTTGAGACTTGGGACCCCTGTTATTTAACCCCCCACCTCCCAAAAACACTTCCTTCCAAACCTTATTAAAAATTAACATCTTACCAGGAACCCATTTAAACTAACAATGGAGAGGCAACATGGATAAAGTGCCTTGCCCAAAGACACAAGCGACTTGTACAGCAAAGGATTCGAACACCTGAACTCAAGGTTGAGAATCCAAGCCACAACCTTTGTGCTAACTGCTTCAACTAATAATAGCCAACTGCTATCATACCTTGCTGGTGTTACTTACGTAAATATCAAATTCAAGAAATCGAGCAAGCTGCGTTGGTACTGGATTGTACCTATCCATCAACTTCTGTAAATAAATCGCCAGTTCTTGTTTTCGCTTTTGAATAAAAGACTTTGATGTGTTACCAATTAGTTTCTTGGGAGGGAGAGCTGACTTTTCAACCTTCTTGTCCAACACTAGCTTTTCGTGCAGCTCGTGGAACTCACTGTAACGGTGCTTGATCGTCCAATGGCATTCTCCAATTATCACTTGAATGATGTAAACCTGGTGAAGGAGGGATGAGAAAGTGTATCATTGTGTTTTCTTCTAGTATAACATGCAGTGTTGCACTTTCACCTGCCCTGCACTCAACAAAATTGGGAAAAAAAATTCAATAAAACTTTGGATAGTTCACCACTCTTAATTATATCAATAAATTACAGGCACTAGCTATTAAATCTATCTTAGTCCTACTTATTCATAAAACCAAGGGGGAAAACTCTTGTTAAAACAACTCAGGGTGAAACGATCAGGGGGGTGGGGGTGAAGTGTTGTTAGTTACAAAATAGGTCTAGGTATACTTTTCTTAGTAGGGGTCCTCCAAACAACATCACCCGAGACCACCCAAGATTATGGCCTAGGTCTAGGTCTATTTATGCATAGCGCAGACTTCGCATATATTCTAGATGAAAGTGTACAAGATATTAATAAAGCCCAATACAAGAGAAAATGTTAATGCACTACGACATGTCGGAAACATATCCAGAGAGTGAATTATTTATTATGAATATCTGGTGGTTTGTTTTTCAAAAGCTAGCAAGTCACTGCTGTATAGGCCCTAGGTCTAAAATTATGTTTTGTCCCATTTTTTGTATATTTTCCATCATATATTGTTGGCCTATAATATTTTTGTATTTATAATGTACTTTTTAAAGAACTGAAGGGAATAAAATTAAAGGTAGAAGCTAGCAGATGCCTAGCCTAGGGTTTGTGCTACTATCATTATTCCACTACTACTACAAATACTACTACTACTAGCTAGGCCCAGGCTTAGGCCTAGCCAGAAATCGAAGTAGGCTGCCGCTCAGGCTTTGCCCAGCTAGGCCTAGCCCCAACGAGACCCCGGCTGTCGACGGAAATCTTTGGTTACCGTAAATGTTTCCACTTGTTCCGTCGCGATTATATCAACATTTCTAATATCACTGCTCATAACTGTATCGGTTCCTAGTTGTGCCATGACGATATTTTTCTTCTGTAATCAAGGTAACGTCCACAAATATAAAGAAGTATTAGAAAATTTGACATTTAATTCCCTCTAAATACAACCATTCTCAGCAAACAGTCAGTCTGTCAGTCAGGTGTACGATCGATCGACCTAAAACCCGGAAGTAGATTCTTCCAGCCAAACCCCCCAGGTGCACGAGAGTTGATATGATTGGTCCACATAATCTAACGTAAACCAAACTATTTGACCAATCACAACGCGCTTCCCAGCTATCATTTATTTTATTATATTAAATTGTTATATTTCTTTCATACAGTGTAATGTATTTCCTTATCCTTTTGAACAAAGTGGTGAACATGAAATAGGCCTATATCATCATATACCGTAAAACCTGGGCTTCTTTTTTGCGAAATTTGGATGGGCTTCTTCTCGAGGCTACTTTTGCAAATTAAGAGGGTGGGGGGGGGCTTCTTATCAAAATGAATGCCGTAAATTTCGGGAATTACTAATATAAAACCAAAAATAGGACCACTGTATCATCAATCTGTATTATGGAGTGTATTAACGGTATTAAATCACCTAAACTACTGTATAAACCAGGTATAAACCAATTTTTTAAATTTATTTTGTTGCTTTGAATTCATGTACAGTGTATGTACTGTACTATCTCGATTAAGCCTAATGTGCTTCCATTCGGGGATGTACGCCATAATATGACTGCTCCCTCATTCAATTAGTTATAATAATTTACTTTTGTGTATAAGTAAGTTATCGAATGTCATGAGCAAAAAAAAGGGAACTCATTTCCAAATTTGAATTATTAAATTTGTAAATTTAAATAAGTTATTAATTTACAATTAAAAATCTGAATTAAAAAACAAAATCTCCGTCAATCCTCGGACATGTAAATAGTACTTTTCAATAATCTTTTACATAGACCCTGGCCTTAAATTAAAGGTTCACTGTATTGTCATGAGCTTAAAAAATGAAAAATTAAATTCCATATTTGAATTGCTAAATTTTTCTATATGTATATGTAGTAGGCCTAAATTAACTTACAATTAAATATTTGAATGTGAAAAAAACCCACCGTCAATTAACGGACAGTTAAATAATATTTTTCCTGCATTTCTGGAAGCGGTTTGGTGCGGTGGGTATAACAGAAGAATGTGCTGTGACGTTGCGCTGTCAATGTGTACCAGCAAATTGCTGGGAGTAACCTGCGGTGGGCCAGCGTCCCACCCAGGGAGAGTATTGTACTCTCATCTGCTCCATGCTACAGAAACTGGGCATAAGCTGCAGCCCTATGTGCCCTAGTGGCTCAGCAAGCATTTACTTTTCCTACATTATGCATAGACAGTTAGTGTTAAACTGATGTTGGGAATTCGACAATAAACTAACGATTTTGATATGCTCCCATCGTCGCATCCCATCAATTCGTGAAGGTTAAACATTGCACAAATCAATTCTGCTTCATCTCTTTGTAACTGGGGAACACATAGAGGAAAATTTCTTAACGTAATACCACAGGCCTGTATGAGTTAAGAGTCCAAAGAAACAATACATAATGCTGTACACAAATTTAATTCAGCCAATGTATTTTGTTTTTACTTTATTCATAATTTACACAATATAAAAAATAGATAAATAATAACTGAGCCGAAGGAGCATTTCGGTTATAATCGAATAAATAATAACTCTGCAAATGAACTTTTCATTCATTAAGGAGCATTGCTTTATACAATTATTACAACAAATGTTCCTCTATATATTTGGGCACCGTTTATTTATCTATGTTTATATAACTGCTATTACAGTATATATTATTGCTAAACAATAAATTAGGACTAGTACTATTTTGTTTAAATGCCCAATAAAAAAAAACCTTCTTAATACATCTTTAATCATATTTAATTCAACTGCTTTGATTTATATGTATAAAATTTCTTATATCTTAATTAAAATATTAAGTAAGATAGTTTGCAATATTTACATCTTCACAACAGCACGATGATTCTTCTTATGGTGCAAACAGTAAGTATAGAATACGTCTATAACTCTTGTTGTCTTGAAAAAGGGAGCTCTGGATATATCGTCCAAATACACGCACAAGGTTCTAAGGTATTCTTTATGCTTTAAAACCTGTCTCTTATACACATCTAGATGTGTATAAGAGACGTATATATACATATGCAGGTTAGCTGCCAAACACCTTGAACACAATTCATTGTAGCATATATAAGCAATAACGCGTATGACAATAATTAGGTATATTCAAACATACTTACACTCTACACCTGTATAATCCAACCGGTTTATTTGTTTACATTCTTAAAATTTAATAACTTCATCTTTCTAAATTAAAATATACAATATTGTGCAATATAATTATTTAGAAACAATACAATACAGTTTATGCTATTCATAGTACAGCTGTGTATATCAGAATGCCCAATTGGCAGTAAAATAAACGTGTCATATCTACTGCTTTTTTTTTTTAGCACTTTTTTAACTCGAAATTATGAATGTAAAAACCTAGCGTTCCGTTTCGTTCAATGTAAAATGTGGATATAGGCATTCTGTCGCTAGAACACAACATACTTGCACCCTCATACACAACACTCAAACTCCTCCCCCCACCCACACACCAGTGTATGACATTTGTTTTAATACAGAAAGTAGAAGATGACACCTGATGCACATATAATGGTCGCTAACGCCGTATTCATAATTCTCAAATAAATAACATTACGGCTCAATTTGAATCCGTTCGTATTCACTAATGGCATACGTTCCACCTTGCTAATGCCTTCTTCATTACCTTTCGCAGCCTCGGTGTGTTCTGATTGGTCTCCAATTCTCTCTTTACTCTAGAGGAGACGAGTGATAAAATTACGTTAGTAAATTATGCCCAATTTTACTTAATTTAAGTTATGTATGACAGTGTTAGTATAAGCATAATATTTGTTGTAGGTATACAGGTTAGGTAAAAACATTTAAGAATGTATTTTTCTGTTAATCCATAGGGCTAGACTAATAATTGCTGTATGCACCTAAATACCTAAATCCGACATTTCAAGCCCAACAAACAAAGCTTCGCCTTACCCCAACTCTCAACTAGAAATTTTCGAAGCCAAAAAACATAAATAGTTAAATTAACTTATTTTTGCTATAGCTAGCACCCCCTTGGTAGTGGTGATGATGATGATGACGATGATGATGTTGATGATGTTGATGATGATGGTGATGATGATGATGATGATGATGATGATGATGATGATGATGATGATGATGATGATAATGATGATGATGATGACGATGATGATGATGATGACGATGTATCAATAAAGTTTCAATTTCAGAAGTTTCTTTACTGTACTAACCAAATGTACTTCATGATCCCAGTCAATGCTGAAGGTGTAAAAGAGAAGACCAATTGCCTGTAATGATTGGGCAATACACAAACCTATCCACATCCCTGTTATAAATACATCAAAATCGAAAGACAAAGTTAAGCAATACTGTAATGTTATAATAGTTAAAGATTCATTGCATCCGCGTAAATGAGAAAGCGCAGCGCAATATGGAAATCAGAGGTTATACAAAATGGGTTAAGTTATAAGAAATTGTAGAGGGTGTGTATACTGCATAGCTCTATTCCAGTTAACATAGGGCACAGGTAGTGGTGGCGCCAGTGGGGGTGGAGGGGGAATTTTCTCCCGTCGGACAGGCCAGAACTCCTTGTCATTCTAGGCCACGACGAGGTCGTCGGATCAAAAAGTAAAATAATAATAATAATAATAATAATAATAATAATAATAATAATAATAATAATAATAATAATAATAATAATAATCATTGCCTACTCAAATAACGTTATTTTGATTGCCAATCCCTAATATTGTAGGCTAGTCTAAAAGCACAATTTGGGTGATAGTATGCTACCAAAAAACCCTCCCCGTGAACCCTACGAGCAACTTTTATTCCTGGAACCGGACAGCGAGGCTCCAGTCTGTCCGTTGGTTCGGACCCCTTGTCGGACTTGTGGACTCCCTGTCGGCAAATTTTCAGAGTCAACACTGTTCTCATGTAACAAATTTACGTTATAATGTTTGAAAAACCGTAAATAACTAATTAAATGTTGCTGCAACGTTGTGTTAACATTGCTTTTGACATGGCGTACATAACATAGCCACAACGTTGACAGCGTTCGCGAATGTTAAAATAACGTTTTGTGATTACTGGGGTGGGGGAACTGGTTTTGGCAATAGGCCTATATTTTCATTGTAATGTGCACAAAATATAAGTTATATTTCGATTTTAGTTTAATAAGTAAGTGGAATTTAATTTTGTAAGCTAATATTGACCCTACGTACACCGGTGGATAGACATGAAAAAATAAAATTAAAAAATCATCTGGAAACAATTGTATAGGCCTAGATATAATATAGTAGAATACAGAGTGCTAGAATACGTCTATAACTCTTGTTGTCTTGAAAAAGGGAGCTCTGGATATATCGTCCAAATACACGCACAAGGTTCTAAGGTATTCTTTATGCTTTAAAACAGATTTTCCGCTTGAAACCTGACATTTAATTAAATGATCGAAATCATAATTTTTGTAGTTCGTTTTGTATTTCTGCTGTATTTTTAAGATTTTACCTTCGGCTTGCCATTTTCGAAACAAAACCAAGTAAATACACACAGGAAGACCAATGAAATAGAAGCTAACAAATGATATCAGTGCGCCAAATTTCTGCCGACCACACCCTTGAACTACTCCTCTTCCAATGTTCTAAAAAAGGAAAATAGTGTTCATTAATGTATTATTATAGTCGTTGATTAGCGAGCCTCCTTTTGGCAATAGGACGGTGGCGTTGAAGCGCGTTACAAATGCTAATGTAAAAAAAAAAACAGATTTAGTATGTATTTAGTATGTAGTCAAAATGTTGTTCGGGGTTTCACACAGGCATAATCTCAGTCATGTCATCATGGTTCGATACGAAAAAACAAACAGCTAGAGACAATTAAAAGTTAAAAACTGAGGAAAATGTTTAACAGTACAAAATAGTTTAATTATTATCCATCATTTTCTTTTTTAATTGTTTTTGCTGTTGATGTTTTCGCTATTATCATTGTTTCTCTGGTAGGCATCTTGAACATGAACATGTTCTTTTTTTCCCTACCAGACTCATTACATTTGAGTTTTGAGTAAAATAAAATTATTAATTATCAATTATGAAATTTTACAATAATACGTCTGTAAATCAACGAAAACTAAATTGTTTCTCATTGGAATTCCATGACTTATTTGATCTTTTGAAAACTTTAAAATTTTCCAGATTTTATCATCTTGAATGATAACTATATTTAAGTACAATATATTATTTTAATAATAAGTAATACATACGGTCGTAAAATCGCTAATCTCGAAGATGACTAAGACTGGAACAATCTTTGCGATCTCTTCAACAACCACTCTGAGAAAACGAAATAGTAACAATAATGCTGTATTTATAATGATGATGATGCTGGTGACGAAGAAGATGATGATAATGGTGATGACGATGAGGATGACACCAATGTTAATTTTAACTATAATAATAATGGTAACAATGATAATGATGATGACGATGATGCTAATGTTAATCACAGCAATAATAATAATAATTAATCACAGCAATAATAATAATAATAATAATAATAATAATAATAATAATAATAATAATAATAATAATAATAATAATGATGATGATAATGCGTCTACTCCTCAATATTAAGGCTATCACTGTGTGAACACACTAACGTATTAACATATTCACTGACCCACAAATTACTACATGGTGTACACACTCATACACCTGTCTCGAGTTGTTTTTAGTCATGGGAAAAAAAGTCCAGTTGTCATAGGCATTGGAAAAAAAATAATAATTTCACAAATCAAATCAAATGACGTCATAATCATGGGAAAACGATAAAATCGTTTTTACTACTACGATTTTATCGTTTTCCCTCGATTATGACGTCATTTGATTTTATTTGTGAAAATAGTTTTTGTATGGTATACATGATAAATCGTTATCGAATCGTGCTAGTGTGAGAGCTTCTCTCATTTCTTTTATTTTCTATATGAACCAATTGCTTTTTAGCTTTTTATCGTTATTCTTCTTCTTGGGTATGACAAGCAGCATATATATATATACATTTTATATTTATTTATTTATTTAACATCGATTTTTTTTATCGTTGATCGTTATCGTCATAGTGTAAGGCTAAAACATAGTCTGAATCACTGGGGCCGACTGGGATTATGCAGCGTGTGGGGTTCGTACTTCCGACCAATAGTTTATGACTAGAATAGAAACTTCTGCGACAAACCACCTCATAAGCACCATAGAGCAAACACAGGCATATTGTTACAGATAAAAAACAATACGAACTTACCTATTTGTTGTGAATACGTATCCAACGTAATCAGAAAATATAAACAGTAAAACACCAACTAATAATGCAGAAATCCCTGAAACCAGAATTTACATTCAACATTTCATTTATCAAAAACATATATAAACTCGTTAAATATGATTAATTACGGCATTATGAGTGTACTATTGTATAATATAAATACTGTCCCAAAAACAAAACAAAAAACAACAACAACAACAAAGAAAGAATACAAAAAAAAATTATTTTGTCTGTTCACTGGAATGACGCTACTGTATTTTTTTTTTTTTTTTTTTTTTTTTTTTTCCTCTTTTTTTTTTTTTTTGTATGGCCTATATTATTTTGTTTTATTTCTTAATATCCTGAGGCAACGGAAGTAGAGTGAGATGTGTGACAATGCATTTAGGTAGTAGGATAAGATGGGATCGACAAAATTAAAAGTTGGTGTTTACGATACGAGACTTACGCCTATAATAAAACTAGAGACAGTCACGTACCTAACGTTGTATACAAAAACGTGGATGCGGAGCATTGTAGTTTAATAGCAGGCGAATAACTACAATGCTTAACTAGGTTAAGGTGGTTCATTGAACTTGGACCCCCGATCTCTAGGCGTCCCCAGTTTCTAGGTAACCACCCCGCTTCCACCCCCATAAAAAGTAAAATAAAGCAATGCGTCGATAAACATTTGGAGTGATAGTAAATGTATCTTTATATAATACTGCACATTATTATTTAAAATTGTTAATAACGTTAAAATAATCAATCATATATGCAGGAACTACCAGTGGTTCAGCGAACTGGGGCTCCCATTGTTTAGGGCCCCGGGACACAATTCTCTGGTAGGGTCCAAATTGTACACTCTACAATAACTTTGATTGGTTCAGATTTTTTTTTTTTTTTTTTTTTTTTTTTTAGTTCGACGACTTCCTCGTGGTGTCGTACGACGGGGGTCGGGGTCTCCAGTCTTGTTAGACGGGTGGAGGAGGGAGATAACGACATTCACGCATGCTACAAACAAAATAATAATTTTAAAAAATAGTACGATGCAAAGCAACAATGATTAAATTTAGTAACTAATTCAAAACTTGTCAGTGATACATTACAATTGTTTTACATTACAGTTTATTCTTCTTTTTTTTCTGGTTTTTAGTCGTTGGACCTCGATCGAGCACTTTGCAATCCTCTGGTCCAAAGTAACCGGTTGTAACTTTAATGATTGCTCGTTCTGTTCTAGGCGTAGGCAATGCCATAGCCAGGATTTTCAAATAGTGCGGGACAATATCAGAGTAGACCAACTTTACTCGTAAATTCAAATAATATAGTCACATTTTCTTAAAAGGTGACCCATTTTACGCAAAAATATGAAAAATCTGGACCCATTTTCTAAAGAATTTACATTTTTAAGCCAAATATGAGAAATCTGGACTCACTTTGTGTATAAAATTGCATAATTTGGACCAATTTTTTAAAATGTGGACTCATTCTTTGTGGACCCATTAAAAAAATTGTGTGGGACTGTCCAAACTGTCCCAATACTCGGCTACGGTATTGGATGTACGGTATTAATAGGATAAAAATATTTAAAATTGGTCTTCCCCAATATCAGAACCGTGAGTCCATGCCTTCCTAAAGACCTGTATTGATCGCTTCACTCTATGGAAATATTACTATTATAAGACTAAATATAAACACCGTATCTCATTATAATATTGAACCTTCACCTCCAAGATGATTCCCGGCTGATTCTTATTGCAGGGGCGGATCCAGAAATTTTCTGACCGGGGCCCCAATAGGTAGTCCAGTGGTATATCAAGGATTTTAAAATGGAGGTGGCTCAGAGATGGATTTTGACAAACCGGGGTGAGGCAAAGAAAAAATTATGATTATGATACCTCTAGATGGCCGGAAATGGCAATCGCATACCTAAACTTGATTATAAATTTTCCTTTTTTCTAGATTAAAGAAAAAAAATTCCAGCACTGTAGTCCACACGCACCTCAGCCCCACTATAGGGCTGAGGTGAGCAAATTCCACGAATCGGCTCCTCTAGACGCCCGGAAATGGTATTCTCAAATGGTAAGAATGCTTTTTCAAAGCATTTTTCTTCCTCCCGAAGGGAGCTATCCTACCCCTCCCTTGGCAACCCTCCCCTAACAGGCGTCGCAAAGGTCTAATCAAGGACTTATTTTAGAGATTGTATACTGGTCCATTATCTCTTTTGTAATTATTTATGTTCGAGGCCCAAATCCGAAACCTATAGACTTTTAAAAAAAAATAAGGTTGATGTTTACTATAGTTTACTTCAGTAAAAGACAATTAATTATATTAACTGCATACAGCTCTGGTTCCTAATTAGTTTGTTTGAAGTCCTCAGTGGTGGCGCCAGGCCAGGTCCGATGTCCCCGATGAAAAAAGTGGGCCCGGTCGGATGTCTCTAAAAAACTTTCGTTTTGTGTTCTAGGGGGCGAAGATCCGAAAAATATGACAATTTATAAGGTTTTTAAAGACTTATTCAATCGATTTTGTCTACTATTATGTAGAAAATACATGTACATTTTTTCTCCTTGACCCGGCCTCCCGCAGGGCCAAACTATTTTTTAGAGTTCATGTGACGGCCAAAGAAAACCTCAACCTTTGAAAGAAATCGTTACATCTGGGTACAACCATGGTACAACTCTTTCCGCTATGATAGGTCTATTTGAAAGTTCTTTTATTTTTCGCAATTTGAAGTTATAGGGCCTACTTTTAAATTGTACTAAGTCTACACCAGCGGTCATGACCCAAAATTTGGTCGAGGAAAATTTCTGTGTGAACATATCATCAGCTTAACAGTCGTCAGTAAAAATACATTTTTTCGCATGTATACAGTACGCATGTAGGACTAGCGAAGTGTTTTTATGAGCACTGTCTGTTGATACACAAACACAAGTAAAGAAGTAAAAAGTGAACGGAACAAATAGAATTTGGCGGCACAAAAATCGGGGTGATATTAATACTGTATGACTTGAATAGAAGGCTTATTACAAAACATAATGATCAGAAAAAAACAAAGAGATAGAACTTGGTGGTATATAGAGTCCTGTGTGACTTGAATTATTTGCAGAACACTCGAAATGTAATATTTATAAGCACTGTTCGTTGGTTGACTAGTGTTTGACAATAAAACCCAATAGACATATTGCAACATAGTATAAGTTTAGTTGTGTTTACTCCTATGATTTAACAATGGGCTTCTTCTACCATGATTCATAAATGAGGCATCAGGACTCTCCATTCCTTAAAATTTTAACATGTCTATGATTAAGTTTTCACTTACAACACAACGTATATGCAACTTGCATATACTCTTTAGCATGTCCAGGCTCATTCTCTCCTAAACGTTGACCTATTCGAATTGCCAAAGCTGATGAAAGCCCAGAGCAAACCTAAAGTAGTAAAATGAAAACATGACAATAAGTAATATAATCATAAAATAGTGAATAAACTTTTCAGTCTGCGTATCGTCACGTACGCGAATTACGTCATAGTATACATTCAATGCATGTGATGCACAGAAAAGGATGAAAGCTAAAATCTTTTATTAGGCCAGAAAATATTTTCGCTTGTAATCAGTTAATTGGCTTTTCTACTACTGCCAAAAGCCATTTATTTTGTTCTGACTTTTTTTTTCTTCCTGTTATCCCTCTGCAACCTAGTCCATGTCCATGCTTGGATCTTCCTCACGCGTGGTCCATCTGTATATAGTAACGATGTGGCTAGTAAAATATTACGTAGGCCAATTTCTAAATATTTTATAAAATAAACTGTTAATCAAAATATCAAGTTTAACCATTTTACATATTTTACGCGTTCTCCAATTAAGTTTAACACAAATTTTCCGTGAAACGCATCGCAAATCTTTGCATTGAACCAATTTAATCAAAACTACTTTACTTCAGCTAGTTGGGTTCTGTACCCGACACTTTAAAGGCCTGTTTATACTTCAACGATAACGATGACGATAAAAAAGCTAAAAAGCAAAAGTTCATATAGAAAATAAAAGAAATAATAGAAGTTTTTACACTAGAACGATTCGATAACGATTTATCAGTTATGCGATAACAAACATATTTTGACAAATCAAATCAGATGACGTCATACTCATTTTTCTATATGAACAATCGCTTTTTAGCATTTTTAACGTTATCGTTATCGTTGAAGTGTAAACAGGCCTTAACTTCAGCAAAATAGCATAACGACAAGTTCAAGCCTCTGTAGCACCATTTCTTTGAATTTATTTAATAAAAAATAATTATGTACATTATATGGACGTAAAGTCGTAGATATCAGTAATTTCAAATATCAGTTCTCATTATGCAAATTCGAAAAAAACCCCATAAATTCTGTTTCACAAACAGTTTATGTAGTTATTTATTTTTTATTATTCTTTCACAATAATATCTCTCGCAGTTTTAGCTGTATGTAAAAGATCTATGTTACTGCACACAAACCATACGCCCGTGAACAAAATGAATCTTATTCTCATTCATTTCATAATGGATAATTGTTTACTATGCTGTGACCTTTGACTCAGACATGCGTAGTTGAAATAAAAAGTCTCCCTAATGAGAATTTTGATTATGTATTGAGTATTGGGTTTAGGCAAATTGGTGATTATTTATTCTTCTTGTTTATTTTATTGCCCTCCCATATATCTGTCTCTTATACACATCTAGATGTGTATAAGAGACAGATATTAATACTGTATGACTTGTACAAATATTTATAAATACATTTTAAACGTTAAAAAAAACAGGAATCTGAGAGTGTGAAAAAATTGGTGCCCCAACCGGGACTCGGACCCGAGACCTTCTATATATGCATACTCCTTAAACAATTTGGCCATTGAGTTTGTTGGGAATTTAAACCGATTAAATCCGATTCATTCTTCACACTCATGCACATGCGTATTTGACAGCACTAGTCCTTGATTCATGGAAAATAAAGATCACTCTCTTATTATACGTATTTGACGACAAGACGAGGTCTCCGAAGAGATGATTTTTATAAATACATCATGATATGATAGAGATAAACTCTAAACCGTTTGCGGTAATGCTATAAATATATAAATAAATGTTACGTTAAAAAAAGAAGAATTTAATGATCATCACACACACACACCCAAACACACACACACACACACGCACACACACACACACACTAAATTTCTAATTCTGTCCTAAACAGAATCCGTACATACAATAACTGTCTCTTATACACATCTAGATGTGTATAAGAGACAGATCACATGATATGAATTATATACTATAGGCCTAAATGTATAATGGTAGAAACGCTGGTCGAATAGCCTAATGATTATGTTCAATAACTAACGATGATCATTGTTCGATCATTTTAGCACCGTTTTTACTATCATGTGATTATACAAGTATATATAATAATGATAATACTGTAATATAAATTATTTGATAGTAATAAAACAGTGAACCAGTAGTATACATCACATCCTACCTGTCCATTCCACATACTTGCTTGTGTACGCTATGATAATGATGAGGTACACGTACTGAGAGATAACTAAAGAGCCAGCTGACCAGCTGAAATAATAATAATAATAATAATAACAATAATAATAATAATAATAATAATAATAATAATAATAATAATAATAATAATAATAATAATAATAATAATAATAATAATAATAATAATAATAATAATGATAATAATAATAAGCAATTTTATATAGTCATAGATCAATAGTTCGATACTGTGCCTCCGATTTTTTGCGTCTCATCTGCAAAAAGCTCAAAGCCGGGGTGAATTTACTACAGTACCGTACATCGCGATGGAATATTTCATTGCTGGACCAAGCTATGGACGCGCACATCGAACCTAAAAAAGTATCGATCTACGGCGCTGGTTAACACGAGCAACGACAGGGACTGAAATGAACCATAACATCGGGGTAACTCCTTACTCTTCCGAAAGATGCAATGGGTTCTTTAAAGTGCACACGAGCCAGATGCTATGATTGAGTGGGCGGAGCACATGCATTTTTTAAAATATCATTTGAGGTCTTATTTGATCGATTTCTGAAGATGCATGTATTAAATGGTTTTTAGTGGCGGATACAGGGACATTTCACAGATGCAGGAAATTAATGACTATGGCACCTCCAAAATGGCCAGAAATTGAACTTTAATACAATTTGAATATCACTTTATTTTTTCATTATTATTATTTTTTTTTTTAAATTCTGAAACATTTAGGACTAGGTCTTTCTGAACCCACCACTGTTAGTTGTGGATCTAGGAATACGAAATAGAGGGGGCAAGGGACAGACTTTCACAGATTGAGGGTCTATAACACCTCAGCCTTACCATGGTTGATGCTGAGGTAAAGAAAAATTTATAATTATGGCACCTAGGCGGCCGGAGATGGCACTCTCAGACCTAATTTTGAATACAAATTTCTTTTCTTTTTTAAAACATTCTGACAAATTTAAGTGGAGGGCGAAGGGGGAATAGTGCAACCCGGTCTAGAAGCACAATTACATTAGGGAAAACGTCATCATCACATTCCTCCATCGCTGTTGCTGCTGCTGTCGATGGACGTTGGTTAGAGGATCCAGAGATTCATTGACAATCGCACAATATTATCTGATATATTTGTCTAGACAACCATAATTTTTCTGTATTGTTTTTGACGTGTCTTGTGTACTATTTCTTGCTGTAACCAGTCCAACATTCACCTGCTGTATCAAGATGATTTCCAAGCGAGAATAAAGATGATTTTAGTGAAATTTACAAGTAAGATTAGTTTATACGCGTGGCAGATTTAATGGCAGCCCGCACACACCCCATACTATTTTTTTTTATTTAAAAAAATGGATAAAAAAAAAAGAAAATTATATTCAAATTTAAGTTTTAGTGTGCCATTTTCTAGAGGTGCCATAATCATATTTTTTCTTACCTCAGCCCCAGCCATGGTGAACCCTCCATCTGTGGAACTGCCTCCCTGGCCCCTCTATTTTGAATTCCTGGATCCGTCACAGGTACATAATTGACACGCAAGCGGCGGGGAAAACACTAAAATTCCTCAAAAAGCGTATATAAATACAGTTAAAACTAATTGCTTGTACGACGAATGAGAGGCGGTCCTCGAAACTGCTCTGATTAGTGAATAAGGTTAGGTGGATGGATTTCTAAAATGTGAGAGAGTGAGTTTTAAATTTTCTACCTCTTGAAAATTTGGACCTTTGGTAATTTTGGGGTGGGGGATGCGTAAACACCCGTTGCCTCCCTTATAAGTTCATATCCGAGAAGACTTGGTTCTACCAACCGAATAGTTAATAAATATGAATGCTAGATTATCAAGTTAACATTAGAGAGAAAAAATAAATTTGTTGTTGAAATAGCACAATTTCTTTTACCTCGTGCCGCCATTCATTGATATGACGAATACGTAGTTCAGTATGATGTTTACGATCGCCGTAAACAGCAAAGCAAGCATTGTTACCATCACGTGATTACGGCACTGCAAGTAACGGCTCAACACAAACGAAGCGAACATCGCCTACAAACAACGTAATACAATTTAACATTAGTTCCAAAAGCAATACTAAAGTATACGGCAATTGTATTTGTTTTATATCATTATGCAGGCAAATTTCTCAACTTTTAAATATATCTTGATACACAATTTTTGTCATTACTATAACATTTTAACACATAGTATTAATTACACTAAGTAGACATTATTAATTTTTTTCAATTTTTCAATTTATTAAAAAAAAAAAACCCTCAAAACAAGGAGAAGCATAGGCCTACTTAAAAACACGTTCAAGCCTTGGAAATAAAACATTGACTTTAATTATAAAATGTCAAATAATTTAAACACTGCACAAGGTTACATAACTTGCATCTACGAGCAGAATGTTAAAAGGTAATCTTTCTATAAACGTACATACAATAATACAGTATTTTATATAAATACATGATGAATACATTCAGCCCTATATATATATATATACATATATATATACATATATATACACATACATACATACGTACATACACACATACATACACACGTATACACATATATATACATATATATATATATATTATATATATAATATATAGGCCTATATATACATACAAAACAGAACAGCAAAACGAAAAACGACAAAAACTTTATAATCTCTCATTCAGATGAATGGTTTTGTTGTTAAGAGAGGGGTCAATCTCCATAATGGTTTTATCGTTATTAAATACAATGCTTAGTTGCTTATTATCCTCTAGAGTATACAAACGTCGCGATTAGTTGCGATAAGAAGTAGTCTACTCATGGCCTGTTAAAGAAGATAGGCTGCTGTTGCATGTTATCTCGTTCAGTTATTATAACAGCATTATAATAATTAATGCTTATGACTTATTGTGTATGTAGCCAATTAAAGTGATTATCGCATTGTTTCTTTTAATTTAATTAATTTGCAATTAATTTTAATTTGTATTTAATCCAGACAATTCAAACGTGGCGGTTTCAGAATATTTCATGGCGATTATGGAGATATGATTTGGCGACCGCCCACCGGTTTCTAACTAATATGCACGTGATGCTAGGTTTTGCTAAGCAAGACTTCTTTAATACAATATCAAATGGGTAGATAATTTTTAAAGGTAACCGGACTGTTTAAAAAAAAGTAAGCTTTTCTTAAGCAACTTGGGTGGTAAACTGAAAATATTCAATATTGGATAGATATTTATATACACTGAAAATGAGAAGAATATTAACAATAATAATGAAGATTTGGTGCTCAAGGCGACGTGTCAATTTCACCACAAAAAAAAATAAAAAAATCTATGTTAATTTCCAGAAGAATTTAGAGCAGAATCCGTATACCGTATACCGTATATTTTCCTATCGAGGCATTTTATTTTATTTCCAACATCATCCAACAGCAAAAAGCCAATTACAGGATGTCTTAAATAGGATACTGTACATATTATAAATATTAAAAATTACAAAATTTACAAAAAAATATTGCGAAGATCATCTAAGACTAAAAATTGCAGATGCAAAAAAAAATACAGAAAAATACAAAAAATATATATAAAAACATACAAATGCAAAACAAGTGAATAATTAATTAATTAAATTGCATTATGAAAATATTGCAAAAGGACCATCTTAAGTTAAAAATTGCAGATAAAATATACTGATAAAAATACAAATAAATGTAAGTAAACATACAAATACAGACAAAACACACAGACAAAACAGAGCAATCAAAACACAGGTCCAACAGAAACACAGATAAAACAGAGCAATCAAAAACATAGCCAGACAAAACAGAAAGGATAAAACACATAAAAATACAGACAGAACACAGAACAAAGGTGAGAAAAAAAGAAAGCACACACACACAAGACAAAACAATCAAAAACAAAGAAAAGACCAAGGAGCAAAGGAAAAAAGGAATTAACCCACCCAGAAAATAAGTCTCTTGGTGTTATGAAGTAAAGATTTATAGCAACAGATATTTTAATAGAGATCTCATGATGTCACCATAAGCTAATTCGGGATATTTTTGGCATGTTCCCTTAAATTTTTTGTTGTAATGTCTGATATAAAACTCCACGCAACCCGCCATGGGAAGGTTTTATTTAGTTTACATTGAGGCCTACCGGGGCGATTCGCTGTCAATACGAGAGCGTTAGTGAGCTCATATCGCGCCAACTAGAATTTCTCCGAGGAGTAAGAATTTGAAAAGCATGTTGCAAGCAAATTTTGTTGAACTCTCCGATGGGTGGGGAGCACCCGTGTCCCGCTGGCGCAACCATGTCTAATACGGTACCGTAATTCATTTCAAAGATTTCACAGTTGTATACGAAGTGCAAGTTGTCTTATGGTCTTTGGTAATACTTACAGGAACTGCTGGTAGGTAAACACGAACAAATTCACCGGCCAATCTGAAAATACAAATGCATTTATTTTTTTACCTTTATAAATTGTTTTTCTTTTTGGGTTTTGAGTTTTTGCATTTTATTGAAGTAAGAATAATGACATTCGCAATTCAACGGCAACACATGTGCTTGTATAAAAATGCGCGTATTCCAGGCAATGTTATGATTGCTCAATTGTTAAGTTGAAAATACCCATTGACCAAAACTGAGAACCTTTCAAAGCTAAAGTAAAATTCTGAATTTGGGACCCCCGTTTGCTAGATGAGAACACTGATTACATAATAGCTGGTCTGCTGATTGGCTGGTTTAAGTGAAGCCACTGATGCAATGTGGGGGAGCGCAAAACGTCACAAATATGTCATCTCAGTGCAAAACAACGCGACATCGCTCGTGCTTTTGTAAACCGTGCAAAATGGTGCGCTGAGTGGTTAGAGGATGTGAAAAAAAAAATCGTTATTGTTAAAAAGTATTGCAAGAATCATTAGGTTTGAATGATTTAAACAAATGCCAAAAAATAAAAAAAAATAAAAATAAATAAAAATAAAAAAAAACCCAAAAGAAAAAAACAAAAAGAAAAACACAAAACTTGTCAGGATTTGTACGTCACTTGTGCTCTTGCATAATAATGGCGTGGGTGGCTTCACTTTTTTTCCAGAACAATGATTGGCCGAAGCAATCCAGCTATTATAATAGAGATCTATGACGAGCCGAGCTGTCATTTAATCGTAAATAGAGATATCTTAGTTTTAGATAGAAAACTAAGATACAGTTAAAATTTAAATATATCTATTTAAAACTAAGATATCTCTATTTAAAACTAAGATATCGCTATTTACGATTAAATGACAACTCTGCTCGCCATAGAGATCAGTGGGGGAGCGTGGAAGGAATATAATTCAAAAGTGTTTTTTACAAACCATAGAACCTTGACCCATGTTCCTAAATAGAATACAAATAAAATAGTTATACCAAGTAAAGCCAGTAGAGCCTTAGTAGGGATTAACGTTCCTATGCAAAATAATAGTGAATTTGAAAACACATATAGGGCTATTGTTGTGTTATGCTGCGGTATTTCGCAGGGACGTATGACTCCACCCCACTCACCAATGATAAAATTTAGTAATAAAACTGATTTTTTTAAATCTTCAAACCATTAAAAATAGCAAAAATTTAATCAATAATGGAGTGTAAATATGAGGATAGGGTGTATGATAAGGTTAAAGGAGTATGCTAAACCATACAAACCTCCCAAAACACACTGCAATGCGATTGTATCATGTACTATGACTCACTTGGTATCTCAATAACAAAATTAAATAAATTTATGTTCAAAGAACCTATTTTTTTTTTGTTACAATGGTGATTTTTTTTTGTGAAAAATACCGCAAATACACAGTAAACCTCATCCAAACCATTTAATTATGATTGTATCATGTAGGACTCAATTTTTATCTCATAAAAAAGTAATTTAGTGTTCATAACAACTTATGTTTACGGTCAGGTTGAAGTTGTGATTCTGCTTCCGTGAAATTGCCCAAAACTAATATATTTTTGTATTGATTTATGCTGATTTATTGATTAAATTATTGCTATTTTGTTACATTTAAATAGTTTTTTTAAAATGCTTTTAAATTTATGGATTAAAAAAAAAATTACTTCAGTTTTCCATTTTTCTGGGGCCCTTTTTTCCTACAACCCAGGCATCAGAATTATCATTTTAAACTAAACTTGTTTACCGAAATTCCATTAAAAACAAGTTGAAAACAAAAGACCAAGCAAACCATCGCTCGACTTTTTATTTAGTGATCAATTTGAAACGTTTGAATACAGTAAACAGTTTGGGTCAAGTTTGGGTCCCAATGTCTGTGTACAGAAAAGAGTTTTAAAATATATAAACAAAAATAAAATTGTGTAACAATATTTGGTTTATTTGAAAATGATTAGCCCTATTTACTAAATGCGATAAACACAATACTTTAAGTTACGTTATGTTTGCACTACTTTATATGTTAATAATAATAATAATAATAATAATAATAATAATAATAATAATAATAATAGAAACTTAGGCACGTCACTGTCAGTAAAACAACGGAAAATTCTTTAAATACATCAGAATGTCTACACACAACCCCCTTCCCTCCACACACACACTCACCAACACATACCCACACACACAAGTGAATAGTTCCTATTGCATTACATGCATAGGAACTAATAAAAAATTAAAGTTGATATGTTGTACAACTGATTTTTCTAAGACAGAAAAAAGTTGTTTGACGAAAAACTGGGGAACGGTGAATGAGATACAGATTTTTTAATATTTAAAAACTGGGGGAAAAGGGGCGTAACTGCCCATTTTTACACCTTATTCCCCAAGTTTTTAAATATTAAATATCTGTATCTCATTCACCGTTCCCCAGTTTTTCGTCAAACAACTTTTTTTCTGTCTTAGAAAAATCAGTTCTACAACATATCAAAAATTTTTTTCCCTCCGGAGCCTGACTTTAAAGGAAATTTATGCTGGAAACAAAATCTTTGTACGACAAACACCTTCTCCCCTTTTAAGGCATTACACAGAACAGTCTAGCCTAAACACCAAGCCAAATGAGATGGACACTCTGAGCATGGGGGTATATTTTATACCTCCATGCTCTGAGAGAGAACTCTGACCTATGAGCCAACCCATGTTGACCTTGACTGATATTATTATAGGACACCACGTAAGTCGTTTTGTCAAATTACCGATTAGGCATATGGCTATTGACGAAAGGAAATGACCTATAAAATTTGATCAAAATCAAAGAATGGAATTTGAATAAATTCAATGGAATTCACAATAAATGGATTATAAGGATCTTGAAAATAAAAAGATACTTAAAGTATTGAAAAACAAGCAAAATTACGAAATAATTTTTGTATACTTGAAATTAAGAAGATGGAGATAGACTATGGCCTACTGTATTGAAAAAGTAAAAAAAAATACTGGTATACTATTTTGCCGGGACTTTAAATGAAATTTTCAGTAATCCTAATCAAGTTAATTATTACAGAGTGCGACAGATGTGTTGTTACAATGTGCTACCAGTTAAAAATATGTTTACTACAAAGCTGATAGGTTTAGCCTATTACTACAAAGTGTGGCAAACAATTCATGCAAACATCTACAAAGCAATTAAATATGAGAAGATTTTTAAATATTCAATTGCTAATATCATTAAATTGCCACGAACTGCAACCAAAAGCAGGTTTACACTTTGTGAAAATATAAAAATTATAAACAACAATACATCGCACTCAAAACAAGTTTTCACCAAAAAAATCGAAAGGTAAAATAAAAATGATAAAACTTAAATAATACAAGGAATTGCTAATTTTTATTTAAAAATAAAAGGATATAAGTTTGGACTTAATTTTGAATTAAGAACATTTTTTTTTTAAATAGGCCCTATATAAAGTGTGGACGATGAACAACATATGAATATTAAAAGTGTGATAGCACAAACGTGCATACAATTTAGAGAGAAAATAAGAAGTAAACTTGCATAGAAATTTCTTCCTTTTGCTGAAGCAGACGGAGAATGCTTTCTGTGTTTATAAGTATCGCCCAGCACAGCATCGAAACAATCCATGATAGTAATAAAGCCTTTTGGAGAATTATACACTGTTTTCGGTCATCTTTCGATCCAAACGCCTACCGAATAAGCAAATTGTCATTATTGTTATTCTAGTTGCTTATAAGAAATTAATAGCGTCAACGATGCTTTTAATTACTGTAATCATATTTTAATAATTACATTAATGATTTTTATAATATAGATTGAAAATTAAGGTAGTAACAAAATGAACCAGTACTTACCACAGAAAAGTAAGTATTACACACGGTCACCATGCCATATCCAGGCATAAAGCATAATATAGAAATTATCTGAAATTTATGGAATAATCAATAACAATTAGGCCTAGGTTATTATATGAGGTTATACTTTGCTAATTACTTTACTGGCAGCCACGGAAGCTTAAAAGTATCACGCGAATATCTACAATAATAATAATAATTTTAATAATAATAATGTTTATTGTGATTGGTTAAAAGATACAGATGTAATTTTGAAAGACTTTGAAATATATAGCATATACGTTTGAATACAGATTTAAAACAAGTCAGTTTCCGTCCCAGTAAACCCGTAAACGTACATGCTGTGCTACTACTGTAGAATATAGGCGCAAATAAAAACGTTCGCAGAATTTTAACTCGACTCCCTTTCTTTTAGAAATGCGGCCACATTTTATTTCCTCAACTCAAGATCAAATTGCCTATTATAAAACAATGAGATAAGAATGATTTTATTAGATTGGACCTCTGATTAATGGGCGGTGATATAATGTGAGCGTGTGTGGGCCTACAGTGTTTTGTCTTTGATAGATGTTGCAATGGGGAGTGAATCATCAACAATCTTGCCTATTTGAGTTATAATCGTTACTTTATTCAGAACCACTGCTACTGTTAAACACATTGTTGTTAGTTCCAGTACTGTTAATGGAATAATGTCGAAAGAAAAGTCTTCCATAGTACGACCTGATGACCTGGTACCATATTTATGAATAGATTTGGTTTCGGACAAAATAATTATGAATATTTTAATTTATATTAAGGTTACCATAATTGCTTTAGAATATACAATAAGCCTCATCGTGCCGTGGCACGAAAATCGGCAGTGGCCTAGGTCTACATAAACAACAGGAATGAATAACTCTATGAATAACTCAAGTCGTCATTATATTTAGAACCACTGCTATAGCGAAAAATCACTTGCTTGGATATCAGACAATGTGTAGACCTATATATTTCTAATGACCTACCGTATATATTCATATACTAGAAATTGCAAATTGCAAGTGAAGTGCTGCGAAGTACAACTGCATATAAATGTTGTTCGAACAAAATTATTTATGCGAGTCAAGTGAAAATAATGAATAATAAAAATAAAAAATAATATGAGACACGACCCATTGTCTATATTAGAACACTTCTCATTGGGTAACAAAGTCGTAATTTTTCATTTTTGTCAAAAAGTGTCTATACTGGTGAATTATGGTTAAGGTTTTTTTAAAATAAAGTTTCAAAAATTTCTATGTATGTGGAAAATGTAGTTGATTACCAAAGGTTACGATTTTTATTTTGAAGACTGCATGGTCTAGGAAGTGTACATTTTTTTATGGGGCAAGTTTCCAAGGGCGGGTTTTCTAGGGGCGAGTTGACTGCCAAAGAGTGTTGCCAAAGTGCGAGCCAGCGTGTTATTTGATCACAAGTGTGAGACATCGCAAGAAGAGTGAGCCAGCGAGCCATGACGTCACGACAATAGATAGAGACGTTAACGAGTTGTGCGGGGTATCGGCTGAGATTTGTGGAGTACAATTCAAAAAACAACTATAGGTCTAATAATGAATTATTGTGATGTTAAATAGACAACGTTATCTTTCAAAGAGCGACGTTGTTTTTCATTGGGACATTCGTCCCTTCAAGGCTAGGCCTATACCATCCTGTCCTGGACAATGGACAACCAATTGTGCCTACCTCTGAATATTTGTTTTTAAAAACCTACCGACTGAGCAATCCCTGCCGAAGCCATCTCCGTTGACCCGATTCGTCCGCAGAATAAGACACTTGTAGTAGTTAAAAAATACTCCAACAGCATGTACACACTCTAAAAATTCAATAATAAGAATAGTTAAAAGCAAAAACTAACCAGTACAAAGAGCATATAAAAATATCAATGTATGCCAATCCTTTTTAAAACGTTTTATAAAAACGATAACAATTTTTGTGAAAATTGGTGAAAATTTGGTTGTGATATAACGTTTACAGAACGTTGTGATTTCGTTCTATTTTACACACTTTTTGCAAGTTTTTTGCATACGTTTTTGTAACGTTTTTTTAACGTTTTTGTGCAGAAGTCTCCAATCAGAAAGCATACTTATCGTTTTAAAAACGTTTTTAAAACGTTCCACAAAAACGAAACCCAAACTAAAACCAATTCAAAACGTTTCTTAAACGTTTTGTGTTAGCTGGATTCCTGTAATTTTTGCAGTATTTCAAATGAATATGTACCCACATAACTGTCGTCTAATCGGATTAAAATCTGGCCGAATTTGGCCTGTCTCTTATACACATCTAGATGTGTATAAGAGACAGGGCGTAAGCATTATTTCGAGGCTATGCTTACGCCGATCTATTACAGAGCATGCACAGGGCCGGCGTAAGCATTATATAGTGGCTATGCTTACGCCGGATTGCTAGTCAACGTAAATAGTCAACTCATTGATCTGCTTACTATTTGTCTCTTATACACATCTTCACATTATCTATGTGTAGTGCCAATTATAACACTGGTAACTTTTGAGTGAAGAGCTGTAATCATGTGTGTAGGTTATGCCGCGATATATTTGTATGGAATGCCAAGTAAGCGCAAAGTTGTGTACCGTATATGCTGTAGGCCTACATGTGTGTGTGTGCGGTTCATCTATTACTGCTACAGTATCCATTATTTCGTATCTTGTCAATTTGTCTTTAGTTACCAAATAGTTAATGTAGTTTTAAGAAAATCATGGCATTATTATTGTATAGGCCTACTGCCATTAGTTTGCCAAAACAGTGCATTTTATTAGGTTTGTGTAAAGTTGATAATTAATATTTAAATTCATATATTTAGTTTATCTATTTGAAACAAACGAATGTAAATTATTATGCAATCTTGATAATTAAACCCAGAAATGGAATTTATTATTTGTGTGTGTGGTTAATCCATTGCTGCTACAGATCCACGATTTCGTGTTTTATTATCAGGTCTTTATGTTGCAAAAAATGTGGTTTTAAGCAATTCGGGGCATTATTATACTGCCATTAGTTCGCGAATAAAACAATAGATTTCATTAGGTTTGTGTGTAAGTTAATAATAATAATGTTTAAGATTCATATATTTCGTTTTATCTTTGAAACAAACGAATGTACATTATTATGCATTTATATGTTGATTAAACCAAAGGATTTTATGTTACAGTAAAGCTATAATCGAGGTTTATATTATTGAAGAAGAATGTTGACAATTATATGAATATACTGCCAAGCAAGTGGATTTTATTACATCTATCTTGAAGCTTACAGTACTATAGCTTTATGTTTCGTTGTATATTATGTCTAGGCCTATATACGTTTTTTAAATGATTAATTGATTGATTGATTGATTGATTTGAAGCAAGAAATATAAGCACCACGGAAATATATTTTTCAACATTCAATAATTTTGTTTCAGCAAATTCAGTACCGGTACAACGTTGAAACATAATGACATTTTTAATTAATTTCAACGATGTAGATTGCAATAACTATTTTTATTACCTTTCATTAAATTGATATTGTCTTTCCATATTGTAGATATTGTGGAAATCTGAAAATACTCTATACGAATAATAACTCGGCGTTCCATACAATACCTCTTATTTGGGCATTGGATATCTCGTCGCCGAACTGGTGTGCCGCCGAACCGGAGGTCTGGGGATTTATTTAAAGACGGCAGTAATATCGTCCATATCTAATGTACAGTTCACAGTGAACGTTTTGTTTTACGAAGTGTCTATGCTTACGCCGAGTCGTAAGCATTAGTCATAGGCTATGCTTACGTCGATCTATTGAGCATGCGCAGGGGTAACGTAAGCATTATTTCGAGGATATGCTTACGCCGATCTATTACTGAGCATGCACAGGGCTGGCGTAAGCATTATATAGTGGCTATGCTTACGCCGGATTGCTAGTCAACTCGTTGATCTGCTTACTATTTCACGTTGTCGAGGCATGAGCTTTGTCTAGTCCACAGTTTTCCAAAAGAATAGGCATCGTCATGAACTGAGGCAGACATATTAGTACATTCCCACACGAGGACCCAATTCTAGCCTTACCTAGTTTCTGTAGCACTTGCCTATTTAGCCTGCCTTTAATTCACTTTACTCAAGTATTCCATATCATCCTTGTGTAAAAATATTTGACCTGTGCCAAGCTCTTGTACTTTCCTCATGAGTGCCGTCTGTTCATTGTGATACAGTACTCAGGGGCGTACGGTGAAAAATCTAACGGGGGGGTCGAAACTAAAGCGCAGGAGGAAAGCTGAACTCGGAGCAATTTAGCGAAGCTTTCAAAATTCGTGGGGTGCGTTATTTGTGAGTGAAGCGAGCATATTTAAAAGGCACTTTATTTAAAAAAGGGGGATCGACCCCCCCCCCCACGGTACGCCCCTGGTACTTCATTGTTAGATAGGCCTATCTAGCCCAATTTATGTTGATATTGATACTATATCAATTTATGTTGATATTGTAATTTTATTTTAATTTTTATATTAAGTTTTTTATTTAATTTTGAATTAATTCTTTATGTAAATTTTGTATTGAGAGGTTGTTATTTATTTTACTGTAATTTAATTAGTTTAATACGCTCTTTTGTTTTGTCTTACTATGTGTATTGAGGGTCCCTAATTATCAGCTTCGGCTGGATGGACCACCCTCATTAAAGATTGTTGAAATAAATTAAAAAAAAAATAAAAAAATACTTTATCTGAAATAATAATGACAATGTATCTATGTATGATGTGTAGAATGTTGGAGATGACCTGCTGCTGCAGTGATATTCTGATTTTAAAACATTGTCCTGTACATTACAGTACATAATTAAAAAGCAAAATCAAAAACAAGAATTTCCCCTAGGGTGCTCTTATCTCGATCCCTCACCCCGACCTTTCCAACATCTCTTGATCCGTGTCCCTATAAAATTCTTAATTTTCCTATTATGAACAAGTACGCATACAATAATTACAAGAGAGCGTGACACAGTTTCAATCCAATTTTGTTATTAATATACAAAACACTGTAGTATATTTCGGTTTTAAGCACCAAGGTTTTTAACAACTGAAATGTTTAAAAGGAAACTCTCTTAAAAAAATAAATTTCTTTTTCTCTTCTAACTAAATGATTCGATGTGCAACAACTGTACCACGAAATATGGGCTGTACTAACTTAGCTCTGATTATTAACATGGTGAGAACCATGAATGCAGGCGTAATAGATTGAATAGAATTTTAATTCGGGGTTGAAGTTTCTTTTAGGTGCACGTTTTTTGGCAGAATCGATGCTACGTGAAGATCGTTTATATAAATTTATGTGATTTTCTTTCTCTCAATTTGATACACCTTCTGACAATTTTTCATAGCTTGTGAAAGTGCCACCGAGACGCAAAGTGTCTTCATCTGCCATCTTGAAACTTCACCAAGTGCACGCTACAGAAAAAAAAAATATTTGCACATGCTCAATAGGACGTTTTCGTACTCACGCAGCAAGCGGCGCCCTTCAAATAGATCGACCACGGCTCTGAGATCGACGTAAGCATAGCCTATGATTAATGTTTACGACTCGGCGTAAGCATAGACACTTCGTTTAAAAAATTAGACAGCGACGTTCTCTCAGAAGTTGTTCTGTAGACGTTTATCTGTTGATGACCTTTTGACCTCCTGAATTCTGCAATGAGATTTTCGGGTCGATTCAGCCGAGACGGCCCGAGTGGAGTTTCATGTAAATGTTTCGTACGG